AGGGCTAATGAGTGTTTGTTCAGCTTGCACAACAACTGAGCAGTTAGGTCTGATCAAACTGGAAGGTTTCAACTTCTTCCCATCCTATTTAGCATCTACTGTGGCCAAAGAACATGAAAATCTTGAGATTCCTATCTGAGAAACACACAAACAAATCAACAACATCTTTCTAAGGCACTGCTAGTGAAAACTAAGGCTTGACTTACTTCTAGGGCCCATTATCTTGGCCACCCCACTGACTGTCAAGAGTTCTGGACAGATGGACTTCAAGCTACAGACGTGTCCATTAGGATGTTGCCTACAAACGAGAAACTATTCTACATAACAGATACTGAAGAGCTGGTATACTGTACTGATTTTTTTCTGACTGGGACTGTATCTAACACGACATGCAAGAAAATCCTTTACTGATCCTCTAGAATATCCTCATGCACCTTATGCAATTCCAACAATATTTAAAGAACTTCTGTGTTGGCTTTACACAGCAAGTGATACCAGAACTATTTGCTGTAAAATATAAGCCTCTGCCATAAAATTAAGCTATCCTTTCTGTGCAAATAATTTCTGTGTCTTAGAAGTTTAAAGTTCATTGTCTTTTAAAAACGCACAAGTTGACAAGATGCATATTGCTATTGAGCAGGACAAGGCCCATAGGTTTACCATATTATTTGCAAATAATCAACCTGTCTTTTTCTAAAACACCCTTCCAGAACTCTATGTTATATAGCTATCGTCACTCTCAAATTCACTCCCCTCATTTTAGACAAAGCTCTAGTACCACCTGCTATCCTATCACTGAACTGACAACATAATTTTCAGATCAAGGATCACTGGCAATTGATTTTGGACTGCTTGCACTTCCAGCAGAAATACTGTAATAGAATGGAACTTGAAGAATAAGATTCTTGCAAGCTCCTGATTATATAACTGCCTACTAAATCTAATATTAAATAAATACATTATTTCAATACAACCATTATCCACCAGAAGACACTAAACTGTTGAAAGGCCCACCCAAAAGCAGAGAACATCGCTGCCTGGAAAACATGCCTAGTGTAACTGTCATCTAGAAACGCTTCACAGGAAGACAGTTTTGTTCTAGCAGTGTTGATTTAAAGGTTATCCAGTCAGAGGCACAAAATGGGAATTCATTTTAAAATTTCTCTTTCTCACTGAAGCTTGCAAAGTGCATCAGCAATTAACAAGTCCTATCACTTCTCCCAGTTCGCTGTGTGAAGAGGCTCAGAACTCGTCTTACAAATTGCTCTTTTGAAGATCAAAGAGAAGCTGAATTTGTCTGTGTGTGCGCTGGATGAGTATGTAATTTACTGGAACTTTCAGAGGAGGCTTGGCAGCACGCTTGTTTGACAGCCCCAGGGCACAGGATTCAGGGGAGCTCTGTGACTCTTCTCTTCCGAGTTCCTTCCTTGGCTTTAATTGGCACCACATTAGAAATTAATGAAAATGACATCCTCTGTTCTTCCTGCTCCAGGCACAGAATGCTAGAAAAAGGCCCATCACAATTCATAACACATCCAATTTATATAGCAATGGCTCTTAAGCATTATTTATGAGATGTGAATTTCTTGTCAGCAGTTAATAACTTGTATGAAGCAGAAGCAGAACGAAAAAGATCTTGAGAGTGTGTATGTGTTTGTGTATGAAAATACACACATTTTCTACATCTGAAAAATTTCTGTGTTCAAAGAACCCTTGCTGGTTTCTTTTTTTGTTTTTCAATTTCTGGTGAATTGTCTTCTTTCATGACAAAGCCCTGCAGAACTGTCAGATCTGTCTAAAATTCCATGTACTGTCAAAGGAACAAGCTCAGCAGCATCACCTCTCTACACCTGTCTAGGACAGGTCCTACAGGAGACAACAGAGCCAACACAGCAGTCTCTCCAAAATATCTCTGAATTTGGGATAAAGAAGTAGACTACTCTGTCCCCTTTTAAAAAGGTTGTGCCCTGCTGGACAAGTCCCAGCTACGCTGGAGTAATATTTGCAGGTATATCTATATTAAAACATTGTCCAGCAGGTATAAATTTCTCTTTCCACTATGTCTCTCTAAAAATCCCACTGGAAGAGACGCCAAAACAAAAGGAGACGATTTCCAGGACTTTTAACATTGAGGCAAGATGATGTGTAATAGCAAACAATAAAACTGCTATTATGTGGAGTTAATCTAGATTTTAAAAACGGTGTTTCAGACGCATCTTTGGAATAACATCATATTTCTGTGGTTAATCCTTTTTCCTTACATCCAAGCAAAACACACACATTTGTCCTTCTAAAGTTCGTGTCTGCCTTTTTATCGATTCTGACTGTCAGCATTTATTTTAACGCTTAAAGTTGAGGGGGTTTTCTACTTTTTTTCCATTGCTTCAGTTAAGGAATAAAATGCCAAGAATTTAATAGCAGTGGTAGAAAGTCCAGATCAAAAAATGTTCTACCTTGGCCATTGCTTTTGAAGGATATACAGGCTTGTTCTACACCAGCTGATTGTATTTCCAACTTTTTCAATTAAATACACATTGTTACCAGTGCTTCACATTATGACAAAAAGGATAACCTGATCACATGCGGATTTAGAAAACATTTTAAATTAATGAGAATTTTAACACATTTATTCTGGCCTGTTTCCCTTCATCCCCTCCCCAGGGTTTCTGAGCTGGCTTGTCATTCATGACCTACAGCAACCTAGTTTTACAGATAGCAGGGGCAAAGTTATTGAGAATGGTATCCAAGGCACCTATGTAAAATGACAAAAGCTGGTGGGTACTGGTAAAGCAGTTCAGGTGATGTGCAGCTGAGATGACCTGTGTTGCTCAGTGGTAAGGTTTACTTACTAACTTTACTACTAAGTAGCACATGGTATGCTTACTTTCACATTACAGGAGATCATTCCATTGCAGGGAACACATATGTACTGAATACAGTATTAATTAAAAGTTACAGCTGCACAGATAAACCAAAGATACAGTCTTTTCAGCCCTTCTCTTATAAAATGTGTGGGATAGAAATGTTTATTATACATACTTTAAACTATATAGGATGCAATATATAATGTAGGAAAGTAAATTTTATTTTCCTCGCTTATTGCTGAGGAACTCAGAATTTTTTGTTTCCTAGTCATGTTTTATTAACACATTTTATGACCTTTAACAATTATTTCCATAAAGGTGTATATATCCAGTGAAAACAATCCAAAGAACAAGTTCTACAACATTCGTATTGCAACAGTGTTGAATTGTGGAACTACCTCAAGAAAACTTGAGAGGAGCCATATTTGTCATCCAATTTAAGAAAAAAAAAAAGAAAGAAAAAAAAAAAGGCAGGTCTGATTTTATAATTCGAAAAACATTGCTAATCAATGGAAGGACTTTTAAAAAGTTGTTTTCAACTTCATTGCTCTTACATAGCTCCAGTTTTGCAGAATGCAGGAAAGATTAATAACAGCACATAATCTCTAAATCAGCTTTTCTTCAATTCCCCCCAAACCTGTAAAATTCCCTTGTTCCCAGTATTAGGGAGGATTCTTGTATCTCAGTCAGGTCCCTGTAAGCAGCCTCAAGACATCTGTGACAGCAGAATACCAGGAGCAGAAACTCCTGCCCCTACCACGCTGAGCAGGAAAGGCCATGCCAAACTATGTCACTGACAGTGCTGAATTTCTTTAGTTTGGTAAAAATGTTACTAGATACTTCAAAGTATTCAGACACAGGATTTCCATAATAAGAATTTCTACATTACAGCTTTTGATTTCATGTTTGGTGGCTTCAAGATAACATATGTTAGTTCTACAGCAGTTCCCCAGTACCTGAAACAAAGCTTATGTCATGTCCAAAGGAGCACAACACAAAAGTAATCTCTAAAGGTCGAAGACAGATACTGAAGAACAAAGGATAATCACTGAATCTTTGCCACTTTCTATTGCTCTCTTCACTCGTTATTTAGAACTCATTTATATACTATATATAAATGAGGTCTGCCTCATTTAACTGGGTCTTTGTAACTAGCTTAGCTAATCCTTTCTCCCCCCATTGATGCTCTGAAAGACATGCCTTCTATCCAGAAAACATTTTAGTACAATATCCTCCAATTCACAGGTGCAATGTGAATTGCACTTATTGTATATGCAAATCCTTTGGAAATTATCCCCCTGCTGAGACACAGTGAAGTAACTGAACAAATTTCTCTGCATGTATTGATACAAGTATGAGCAGAGAACAGAAGCATAAGCTTGCAACACATGACTATATGTAAAAATAATTAGCAGGTAAAACTACCCTGTGCATTCTCACTGGGTCTGACAAGCACATTTAAACCAGTTATAAACACAACTGTTCCACAAAGGAGAGAGGAACTCCTCTGGAATCCAGTCACATTAATTATTGTTTCAGAAAGATTATTTGCATGTAATATGAAACCCCAGATTAGCTGTCTGCATGAGATTATCATCCTCAATTCAATTAACTGAACAGTGTTATCAACTTTGGAAAAGCCAGGGTGGATAACTAAGTATTATGGACAGGTCTTCCCCACCAAGAGCTAACTATGAGAAAGTGTTTTCAATTAGAGTGGGTTTTTGCTTAAACTTTTTAATAATAATGTAATTATAAAATGCAGAACGTAGATGCTGACCTATGTTTCTTAAAGCTCTGTGAAAACCCTGTCATCTTTGCGTATTTTAATGTGCTTTGTGTTTCTTCTCCTGTCAAGTGGGTATGATGCTCTCCCGCCTTACAGGGACTTCTGAAGCTAAATTCATTAACATCTGAGCTCTCTTGAGGCAGTACATCAAGGCCAAAGTTTTAAAGGGGAAATTAGACAGGAACTAATTATAACTTTCTGCTACCAGTGGAAGCTATGGCTTCTGTTAAAAGTTATCTCTGAAAGATTAAAAAAAAAATGTAAGAGTTCTCTGTATTTCTACTTCTGATACGGATCCAAGCATGGCTGCATTAGAAAGCCGGACACTACTGACAAGCAGTACTCACCACAGCGACATGATCCCAGTTCCTGCTGTACTAGCTCCAGTTTTGTTTGGCACTGGAAGCATCGGCGTCTACTCTTCTGTTTGGATCGACTGGTTTCTTCAGGTCTGTCATTACTGTCATCCAGTAGCCGTGGCCGTTTCTCAGGAGAAGCCTCACTCTCCGACTGTGAATCTGTTGTATTCACAACAAATATTTTAGGAAAAATATTAGAATTTCCTTGCTGAGGCATCCCTTTGGGCAGACTGAAGGTATACAGCCTGCAGCTGGGGTCACCACCAAGCAGCAAGATACTTCCCATTCTACTGCAGGTACCCATTTGCTTAACAATCAAAATGAGGATCAAATAAAAGACAAATTATCTTTGTCCCCTCTAACAACCCCTCCTACTGGCAATACTGAATATAAAATGAACTGATTAGCTTCCTTCCAGCCATAGCTGGGTCATACGGAGATAACATGTAGAGTATACATAGTCCTAAACAACTGCAGGCTTCATCTGTCAACTCTTTTAGCTTCTCCCATGAGCCACCTTGCCTCTCCCTGCACAAACTGAGTAGGCTGCTGATGACACACAACTGAATGCTGGTTTGATCTGCTTCTTCCCTGGGCAACAGGGAGATTTTTAAGGCAAAGCATGTAAATTATATCTCTTATGACTGAAGGTGGGACATGAAAGCACCATACCGTGCTTCCCTCTCTTTCCACATGGGTAACAATTTAATTTAGCATACACCAAGTGTTCAGCTATTTTTAAATAGTCAGAACACTGTCTGCATTAACTACTTCATAAATTTCAGCTTGTAACACAATAAGTGTATGGAAAACCTTAAAAAGTTAAAGTTCAGGACTGTTACTTCAGGTGGTGTAGTGCCTTTTTCTGTTGCTGTGGTTTGTTGTTCTTTTTTCCCCTCTTATAATGGATATATTGACCAGAGGTCTCAAATGGCAGGAGATGCATGTTACTGACTGGAACATGGCATACCCATGCCTTATTTTCATGGCATGTCAGAGGCAGTGGATTTCAGCAGATCTGCAGTTCTACAATCTGAGTCAGGTCAGGCTAGAAAAGACATTTTCACTTCCCCAATCTGTGTATAGCAGATTCAGTTCTGCATTTTATTTAATAGAAGCTGCAAATAAATGTAATGCAAGGTGTACTAAAAATTAAATTGTTGGTAGCAGTGTTGCAAGGAGACTAACTGTGGAAAGCCATTACTTCAGTCACCAAGGAAAAAAAAAAAAGGCTTTAGTTCAGTTAAATCCATTTTGAAAGGACATGAATATAACAAGTAACAAGAGAACTATATGTTTTTGCAGAAGAGTAGCCTATTCCTATCGCACAAGTTTTTGCCTTTAAGTTTCCATTGTGTGGTATCTTGTGCTTAAGGAAAACATGTCTACTTTGTGTTAGCTGTCCTGGACTAGCCAGGAAAAGGTAACTGCTGGGGCTAAAGCACTGTCTATATCCTTGTTATTTCAATGATCCACTGCTTATCACCATCATGACTTTCCTTGAGCAAATATCAAATGAAGTCAGACTAGGCTAGCCTCTCCCTCTTGGGTATGCTCTATGAACTTTCCCTGGTCCCTCATATCTAGTATAAACTAAGCCATTTCTCTTACCTGTGCTTCAGACCTTGTCTCACAGTGTTTCCCAGTTGTTGGACTCCAATATTACACCCATGGCAAACAGACAACTTGCCTCACTTGGGTCTACTTCTGACATAAGGTATGATGAAAATGTGCCTGGCTTTACAATAAGAGCAAAGTCTCCACATCTCAAATTTCACAGAAAAGTGAACTGCTTTCTGCACAGTATACAGGTGATAAGTTTTTATTAAGCTGCAATAATTTATCTAATGTGTGCCTTAACACAACCTTCTTTTTGATCAATGTCATAGATTACATAGATTTTGTGAGCTTACATCTCCCAAAATATATCTATTAGGCCTAAACTAACATTCAGTACATAACTTAATCCACCTCTGCATGCTCTGCAGGAGCCTTGACAAGGAAAATAAAGCAGTGCATGATGAATTCATACAGCTATGGAGCAACCAGTCCTGTCTTGAATTAAATCTCTGCAGAAGAATATCCACAAGACAGATCTTCTGTCTCTACCCAACTCTACCCTCCAACTGGCACCTTATGTACAGCAATCTGGCTGACTCAGGGCTCAGTGTAAATCAGTGTAAATCAGCCCACCTTGCTGCCAAAGATGGGGAATTACATGATTTGTAGTTTATCCATTACTCAGAGAAACAGATACACTGCTGTTTTGAACGAGCTGTCTCCCACGCAGCTTTGCTTCTGGAAACATGAGCCACTCTGGGAATTCTCAAAAGCAAATCTGGCATTCTGAATTAAGAAGATGGAAACCATAGTGGTCTGCTTATAATGAAGTCCAAATAAGGGATTTTGTGAGTCAACCAGTGTCTATCAGTTAATTAACCCATGTGTCTTGCTGAGAAAAACAGCCTACCCCAAGTCAGGCTAGTAGTCCTATAATTAAAAGATTTCATTGTACATTTCCTGTTAATGGGTGATGACTAACTGAATATTAACGTAAGTTGGTTAATATGACAGAAATTAAAATTTAGATATCCAATCTTCTAAAATGCATCCCCTTTTGCTATAAAGAGTGCCAGCACTGAGATCACCTTAGCCTGACTCTAGGGGCAGTGCCAGCCATCTGATCACTGCCTGCACAGCACCTCGAACGTATGAACACAAGCCAATACTCAGTACAAAACCGACCAACAGTACACACACTTCCATCCTCTCAGGGTTAAGAACAAAAAGTGAGGAGAAATCATGGATCAGAAATCAGAACTTTTAGATCAGTCCTGCATGCATTTTTTCCAGATCATGTTTCTTTCCACAACACTGACACAAGCAATAGAGAACACAAAATAAACCTCCCAGCACCTGGAATCCTGCAACATTACATTTCAGAGATCTGATAGCAAAAGGACATTGTCATGCATAGCTTCACCATCTGGGCTGCAGAAAAAAATCCCCTAGGAACAGGGTGAAGTGCTGCAACTAGACTCAAGAGTAAATTCTCTGTGTATTAAACAATAAAAATGGCTCAAGAAAAGAGGATTTTTTTCAGCCAGTGACTGACAGTGACTTTCCTTGGTTCATGCAATAAGAATTACTTCTTGCTCTGCTTTTAAGGAACATTTCCCACACTCAACTTGCATTTTAGTATTACATCAACAAATACCCAATCTGAGTTAAAAAAAAATGCTTTCCTTTTACCTGCAGATGCCAAAAATCATAAAACTCTTCCATAAAAATAAAGAAAAACAATACAGACATTCCCAAAATGTTACAAAGAAATTGCTCAGATTCTTCTATATTTGAGGATGGAGATTGTTCTAATTGTGGTGACTCCTATGTGAAATGACATAATGAAATAATTCAGCCAAGGAAGACTGAAACTGGAGGTTTCTCTGGAAACAACAAGCAGAGCAGTGTTCTTAAAAACTGTTATCTCTTAGACAGAACTCACTTTTGTTCTGTCCTGACACTGTTCTCCCCTCAAAGTTTTCCAAATAAAGAGCTGAATACCACTCTTTAACTATCCTGCCATGGAGGGGTTTGCAGGCTACATGCACATGACTCTACTAACAATCACGATGGCTCTTTCGCAGCATTTTGGAGAGAGGGTGGGACACTCTAACCCCAGCAGAGACATGGGCTGATGTCCTGGGTTCAGCCATAGCAGCCATTTTTCTCCTTCTTAGTAGCTGGTGCAGTGCTGTGGTTTTGACTTTCAGCCTGGGAACAATGCTGATAACACTGATGTTTTTAGTTGCTGCTAAGTCATGTTTAGTCTGACCAAGGACTTTCTCAGTCTCATGCTCTGCCAGGGAGGAGGGGAAGCCAGGAGGAAGCAGAGACAGGACACCTGACCCAAACTAGCCAAAGAGGTATTCCATACCACAGCACGTCGTGCCCAGTATATAAACTGGGGGCAGTTACCCGGAAGGGCTAGACCACTGCTCGGGTCTGGCCAGGTATCAGTCAGCAGGTGGTGAGCGGTTGTATTCTCTTCCCTTGTTATTCCCCTTATCATTATTATTACTGGTGGTAGCGGTAGTGATTTGTGTTATACCTTAGTTACTGGACTGTTCTTACCTCAACCCGTGGGAGTTACATTCTTTCAATTCTCCTCCTTATCCCTCTGGGAGCAGGAGGAAGAAGGGGAGGGGGGAGTGAGCGAGTGGCTGCGTTGTTCTGAGTTACCAGCTGGGCTTAAACCACGACAGCTGACAAGACATAACAGGGAAGGAGGAAGGAAGAGATGGAAGAGTAGGAAGAGGAGAAGAGAAGCCCTCTTTAGCTGCTGCTTGCTTCAATAAATAGATGAAACCGTTTAATTTCTGGTTTAGTGACAGCTTTTGAGTCACTCAGGGTTTGTTTTTTTTTTCTTTCCTAGAGAACCCATCACACTGACAGACTGATACTTATGATCTCAGTTGTCTGTGCAAACACCGGTAAGAGCAGTAATTAACGAATCCCCAAACATCACTGCCATCTCCTCTGAAACCATTTTAGAAGGAGCTTGAGCTGTTAAAACCTCTGTCCATGAAGAAACTTGCACAGGCACAGACAATAACTGTATAACAGAATATAACTAAAGTTTGAGCAATATCTTGTTCCTAGTTTCTAGTTTTGATTTTTCCCTCCCTTCATTCTTCCATTTTTAAAGGAGGGATTACTTATTTCTCTGGATGTTGACCATGCATTAGAAATTTCATCTAGATGAAATTGCCTTGTTACAAATCTTTCCTATCACATTTACCAGAATGATCATTTAAAATCATCTCCTCTACTTCAAATGAAGCTAAAAGTAACACAGCTGTTCCAAAACCCATTTGGCTTGTTGACAATTAATGAGACAGAAATTAGAGATTAACATTTTATGAGCCAAGGTTGACAACTGTGACTACCTCAGTTCTTCCCTGTTGCTGTAAAATGCTGCAGAAACAGTTATTTTGAAACTCTGATATTTACAGTGATAAGAACATCAAGTCTTCTCACACAATCATGACTGTATCTCAAAGCTGCATCAGAAACCTAAGCATGCACCTCTCTGGAAGCACTTACACTCATCAGAATTTTATTCCTTTTGTGAATTCATCTCAGTTTTTCATAAAACC